AACCCATTTTCATCCATGTATTGTTCCCTTTATCAGCTTTTCTCCTACCCTGGCTTACTATCAGCCATTCCTTTGTCTGCTTAACTTCTTAACTGTCTTCCTCTGGGCTCTGTCTCCACCTATCCACTCACTCCTTTTCCCCCAACACCTCCTATCATCAGTATATATACTTAATTTTCCTAGTTACTATCAGTTCTGAAGAAGAGTCACTGGACTCAAAACATTAACTCTCTTCTTCTCTCTGTGCAGATGTTGTCAGTGGCTCAGTGGTTAGCACTGCTGCTTCACAGCACCAGGGACCTGGGTTCGATTCCAGCCTTGGGTGACTGTCTGTTTGGAGTTCACACATTCTGCCCGTGTCTGTGTGGGTTTCCTCTGGGTGCTGTGGTTTCCTCCCACAGTCCAAAGATGTGCAGGTTAGATGGATTGGCCATGCTAATAGTGTCTAGGGATGTGCAGGTAAAGTGGGTTAACATGTGGGATTACAGGAATAGGCTGAGTTTGGGTGGGATGCTGTTTGGAGGTTTGGTGCTGACTCAGTGGGCTGAATGGCCTCTTTCTGTACTGTAGGAAGTTCTGGATATCCCTATTAAACAGCATTGTCAGAGCAACATATCCACAAGAACAGCAGTGGCTCAAATACGAGGCGCACAGTCACCAAATGAGGGCAACTGGAAACAGACAACCTGCTGTCTCTGAGAATAGACTGAAAAAGGATAGGGGAAAATAGAAGCAGGAAGAAACACACATCAGAAGATGAGAAAACAATTAAAATGAAGAAAAAATAAAGTTTGTCAAATTTACAAAGAATTTCTGCAAAGGATCAAAACATTACTATAAGCAACAGGTGGGGATTCCTGATTTTGTCAAATGACCATGTCGACCAAAGAATAAACTGAAATAAAAGTTTGAATGAATTAGGAATGTTGTTAGTGAAGAATTATGCTGATAACCAATTTAGGATTGCTAGTCAGGCTCGCAGACAGTGTAGTACATTTGCATGTACTAGAACCTACACAGACAGGGAAAAAAAAAGCCTGTAACACATTGAACTTATTTCAACTCAACACAGTAGATGGTAGACACTTGCTGATTCATTGCACAGGGTAATGTCTTGATCAATTGGAGTCAATTTGTCTGACTTAAAATTTAAACAAATCTTGACAGTTAATCATTAGTCATCATTAATTGATGCATTCTTCATGGCAATTCTTGAACGTTTTAGAGTCCGCTTGTCAACCAGTCAGCTTTCTCCCCTCATATTAATAAATGTAGGTTTTCTCCTTGAATTGATATTCTTGCAAATTGTCCTGATGAGTGCAAGATGAACAGATTCAAAAAGTGTGTATTTTTTCAGCAATTTTCACTTTCTGCGCTCCTAAATAGTTAAATCAAAAATAGTACCAATAGAGAAATGTTTGCAGTAACATATTTAATGGCCTGGAAAATTAGCTGTAAAGGTGAAGGAGGAAAGGCTTTAAATGAAAACATTTCTCTTTGTCTTGCTTCAATGAATGGCATGTTATTTTACCATTTTACAGATCTTCAGTACTTGAAAAATACATATTTTTGTTGAAACTTTTTGTTTTGCACCCATCAGGACAATTGACAAAAATAACCAAAGTAAAAGACACAGCATTTTTATACTGTATAAGTAGAGAGTGCTGATTAGTTAAGAGTGTTGATCCCCTTTTCTTTGGTATTCTTGTGAAATGTCCTGGTCAATGCAAGATTAAAAACTTCAAGAAAAGGAATGTTTCTTCAGTAGAGTCACTGTGCATGATTATACTAAGCTCAACATATTACCTTCAATACAATAATTATGGAGACTGGTGGGCGTTCAGCGCATCTTTCCTCATATGTCCAGAGAAATTCTAATGTCATTCTCATTCGTGCATCCAATTAATTACTGAATTATTTCAAGGTTCTTCCATCCAATACCACACGTGAAGGTCTACTCACACAGTGAACACTCTTTGGCTGAATTCCTGGGTTACTGGTCCTAAAGTTACTTGACATCAGTTTGAGCCTGTGTTCCCTCACTGTACTCCTAGAGTTGAGCAAATGTAATGTTTCAAATAGACTTTCTCTTCTGCTCTCTTAACCATTGTGCGGACCTCCATAAGATTGCTTCACTAAGACTACCTTCCTGACTCAACAGCTTACATTTCACACGTCTCTTCTCACAATGCAGGCACTTGATTCAAAACATAATTATTTTTGGCACATTTCTGCCCTGACTCTCTCTCATATTTCCTGATCACTAGAACTGGATGCAATATTCAAGTTGTGTTCTGAACACTCTTGGTTTAATCATTATGTCCTTTGTCTTATTATTCATTGTTTTTGCTGTGCAGTTCAACTACCTACTGACTTTGCTGCTTTCTGATCTTGATTCATACAAATGTGCTGAATGGAAGGATGCTATTTGACCCATCATATCAATGTTGGCCCTTCAAAAGCACTATCCAGTTTGTCCTGTTGCCCTTCCCTTTCCCTATTATTCACATTCAAGTATACACATTACTTTATGAATGTCAATATTGTTCAATTTTCCTGCTTAGGCTTTTGAGGATCAGACATGAAGAAACTCTCAAAGTCAGAAACCAATTCTCTTTGTGAACTGCAGCAATATTTTGATTAATGTGTGAGTTTGGTTAGCAAACAATTGATTGTAATGTGTCCTCTGTATTGAGTTTCAGAAATCACTGTGGAGGATTGACTGGACTTGTGGGCAAGAGTTTTACAAGAGTCCAGAGAGGCGTGCTGCTAGGACTGAAAGCTGGTCCTGAACTCATGTGGGGGGACAGATGATCTTGGAGAGAGTTTTACCAGTGACAGATGGATGGCATGGCAACTCTGGTTAGTACCGTTGCCACACAGCACCAGGGACCCGGGTTGAATTCCACCCCCAGGCGACTGTCTGTGTGGAGTTTGCACATTCTACCCATGTTTGCGTGTGTTTCCTTAAGGTGCTCTGGTTTCCTCCTACTGTCCAAAAATGTGCAGGCTATGTAGATTGGCTGTACTAGATGTGGGCTGTGTCTGGGTCTGGGTGGGATACTCCTTGGAGGGTCGGTTGCAGACTTAATGGGCTGACTGGCCTCATTCCACACCATTGGGATTCAGTGATTAAGAGCTTAAGAGCCAGGACTGCCGTCCAATGAAGGACACCGATTCGTCTCTGTCAGCTGCTGACCCAGTCAGAGGGCCACTGGCTTGGAAACCTCCCTGATACAGATGGTCAAGGCTGAGGCCTGGAGGGGAAGGGGAGAGGGCGCTTTCCTGTTGAGGAACCCAGAGGATTGCTTTTCAGATGCCAGGGTTGGGTCAGGCAGGCAAGCCCCAGTGATCGGAGAGGGTGTATCCTCTATGGTGATGTTGGTGTCTTGTGTTACTCCTTGTCATCCTGGAAATCTCTCTGTGAGCCATGGAATGGCCATAATGGAATATTCCCCACTGATGTCCATCTATGGGAAGCTTCACCATGATTTGGATGAGTACAGACAGAGGGGCAAACACATGGCAGATGAAGTATAATGTGGATAATTGTGAGGTTATCCACTTTGGTAGTAAAAAAAAGAAGGCTGACTATTATGTGAATGGCAATAGATTGGGAAAGGGATGGGTGCAATGAGACCTGGATGTCCTCGTACATTTAAAAGTGTTCATGCAGGTGTAACAGGTGGTGAAGAAGGCAAATGGCATGTTGACCTTCATAGTGAGAAGATTTGAATACATGAGCAGGGATGTCTTGCTGCAAATGTACAGGGTCTTGATGAGACCACAGCTGGAGTATTGTATGCAGTTTTGGTCTCCTTATCTGAAGAAGGATGTTTTGACGACAGAGGGAGTGCAACAAAGGATTACCAGACTGACTCCTGGAATAGCAGGACTGATTTATGGGGAGAAATTGCATCAGTTAGGACTGTACTTAATGGAGTTTAGAGGAATAAGAAGGGAAGATCTATAAAATTACAACTGGATGAGACAGGGTAAACACAGGATGTTCTCAATGACTGAGGAGTCCAGAACTAGGGGTCATTGTCTAAAGATATAGGGTAGGCCATTTAGCACTAAGGTGAAGAGAAATCTCCATCCAGAGAGTGATGCGCCTGTGGAATTCATTATCACAGGAGATGATTGAAGCCAAAACATTGAATGATTTAAAGGAGATAGGTATAATTCTTATGATATAAGCTGAAATTGGGGTCTGATTTGGATGATCAGCCATGATTATATTGAATCGCAGAGCAGGCTTGAAGGGCTGAATCGCCCACTCTTGTTCCCATTTTCTTTGACACACAGAAATTGCTGGAAAAACTCAGTAGGTCTGGTAGCATCCACTAATGTTTTGGGACAAGCAACCCTTCGATAGAACATTTTCTATGTCTACTGTTTCTATGTCCTGAAGATCTGTTAATGTATAGAATCCCTCGAAGATTGTATTGGAATAGCTTCCGGTCATATTTAGAATTTGTTACTTTTCTTGCATTAGAATTAAGACACCAAACAGTGCAAATGCTCAGTGATTAAAGTGGCTTTTAAAATTGCATTTTCTGTAATGACCAAATTGAACTGGTTTGTAACGTACTAATAATATGAATAAAATATATTTCCGGTATAAAAAAAATAAAATTCTGGACATATAATCACAGAGCCCTATACTTACTGAGCATGTACAGAGCTATGTCTTCTCAAACCAATTGGGAAGCTGAAAAACAACTCCATAATCTGATTGGATGAATCTTAATTGTCAATCAAACTGTCAGAGCCTTCCTGACACTGATAAAAGTGTAAAATCATTTACTTTTTCACTCCATCCCCAACAATTTTTTGTTTGCCACGGCTGTAAATGAATGTTTGGGTTCTTACAGCCCAGTTAAGATGAAGCTGCTGGTGATTTAAGGGGCAGGTTAAAGCAACAAAATAAAACAAAAAGCGCAACAATTTGTATTTCTGTGTCAGTCTGCTCCCGTGGGAAAAACGCAGCGCTTGCAGCCAGACGCCGCGGAAGCGGGGCAGAAGAGACCGGCAGGAGTTGGAAAGAGCAGTCATTGCATTTGGCATTGGGAATCTAGGAAGGCAGCTGTGCACAGCCCTTCTGCAGCATAGTACAACCTGACCCGGAAGAAAAGTAGGAAGAGAGGGAGTTAATGGTTTGAAGAGGATTGCAGTCATTCTGAGAGCTCTCAGTTTTCTCTGTTCTCAGGTTTTGATTGTATGTCAACTCATCGCAATCTATAACAGAGGGAAGTGAAGTCTCTTTGTGAAGTTTTCTGAAGCAGGGTCTAGGCCCGAAACGTCAGCTTTCCTGCTCCTCTGATGCTGCTTGGCCTGCTGTGTTCATCCAGCTCTACACCTTGTGATCTCTTTGCACCATGCTGGGAGGCAAAGTGACCCTGGCGACCTGCGCTTTGAACCAGTGGGCACTAGATTTTGAAGGAAATTTTCAAAGAATTTTGAAAAGTAAGTTTCAAAGCTTATGTCATTACAATCAGAAATGTTCTCATCACTGTTACTTGGGACTTCCTACCCCCTCCCCACCCCCTACTCATCATTTCTGCCTCCAGGATCAATGTATAAACGGGGAATTTTCAGGAATGTGGGAGTTTTCCCATCTGAGGGAGGTGACAAAGGCAGTGCGTGAATCAGTTGAACTGTTTGGCATTTTCTGAGCTGCACCATTGTAACAACATGGGAATGCCAGTTTTTGCATTTCTGTGCAGTTATTTCCCCAGATGCACTGGAGAAGGAGAATAAACAGGGTGCACTTGGGCTCACCTACCATTCCTGTAAATTCTGCCTTGGTGGTGTTTTTATTTTCCAGCAGGAGTGGGAAAGTGTGTGCCCACTGTCCAGCATTGACTGGCCAGCATGTGTGCATCCTCCTCACTTTCCTGTTGATACATCGATACGAACATCCTTGGTCTCACATATTCCCAATAGCGCTGTAACCCGTGGAAGTATTGGTGTTGGAATGGAGAGGAAAGTTACTAGTGAGTCCGTTGATGGAGCTCCTTCCTCTGAGATAGAAAGGTCTGTGTTGAAATCTCTGACGTTCTGGTGTAATACTGAGGGGTTGCCTTTTGGACAAACTAACACGTCAAGGCCTCATTTGCATTTGTTCTGAGGAAGAGTCACCGGACCCGAAACGTTAACTCTGTTTTTTCCTTCACAGATGGTGCCAGACCTGCTGAGCTTCTCCAGCAACTTTGTTTTTGTTCCTCATTTGCTTTCTTGGGTTGTACACAAAAGATCCTTTGACACTGTTTCCAAGAGAGGCAGGAGAGTGATGTCCTAGCCAGTAACTCCCTTTCAATCAACATCTGCCTGGTCCTTGTCACATTTATTTGTGGGAGCTTGCTGTGTGCAAATTGGCTGCTGATTTTCCGAAATAACAACAGTGATTACGCCCTGAATATACTTCACTGGCTTTAAATTGCCTCAAATCAATCTGAGGTTAAGAAGCCACTGGGATGCAGTGGCATAAAGGTCATGTCCCTAGGCTAGACATCCACACATCCCAGGTTAATGTTTTGAGGATACATGTTGCTGGAGAAACTCAGCAGATCTAGCAGCAGCTGTGGAGAGAGAGAAACAGACTGAACATTTCAAGTTCAATAACTTTCTTTTTGGAGCATTTCCAAAGTAAGGTCATAGGACTCAAAACATTAACTCCATTTCTCTCTCCTCACAGATGCTGCCAGACCTGCTGAGTTTCTCAGCATGAGTAATGGCTTTGCTAATCGCATCATTGCCAGGTTGAAATTTATTCAACAGGGAACAGTAGAGGGTTATGCTCCTTGAAATGGGTGAAAATATAATAAAGAACGAGACAAAAGCCAACTAATATACAGTATTGTTCAATATTTTAGATAACTGTTCATTTTAATTCTGCCAGTTTTCTTTTTGAATTCTGTTTTGTACTTTGAACCGATGATGTGGTCAAAACTGCAGGGTGGTCAAGCCCTACAGCTGGTGGCATTGCCAGAGTTAAATTATCACTTGCAATGTTTCCTCAAAATCCGCGTCTCTATCTAATGATGACTTTCTCTGTGTTTCCTTTTGACTTCTTGTTTTAAGGTTGTCAAAATTTAGTGATAATAATAATGTATGAATAGGTTCCTTGTATATTCTTTGTTTTGAATTTTTTTAAATGCTTACAGGTATTGAAATAGCAAAATCAAAAGGTGCAAAATATAGACTTGGACCTGAACTGGAAATTTGGTAAGTAAAGAAAAAGGAAATGTCTGCAATTTTTACAGCCTTCTACAGCTCTTTACGTGATCCCAGAGCACTTTAGAACCAACGAAGAGTTGCAATGTCCCACACACATTAATATGAGAATGATCCTGAAATTGTAGATGGAGAAGGTGCAATTGAGGGGAGGTGATGGTGAAGTGGTAGTATCTCCAGAGTAACATTCAGAAGTCCAGGCTGAGGCTTGGGGACATCACAGTTGGTACAATTTAAATTCAATTACAGGTAGTTCTGCTATAACACGTGTCTCATTAATGCAAATTGGCTGTAACACAATTGATGAATATTGGACACTGTTTGGATGACCTAAACTTTCTACTGTACATTATAGCGATTTAAAATTTTTGAGAATATTTATAGCTCGGATTGTGGATGAGGTTGTAGACTTGCTGTTTGAAGCAGTGTGTTTGGTTGCAGACGTTTCATCACCCTGCTAGGTAACATCGTCAGTGCACATCTGGTGAAGCGTCGGTGTTCTGTTCCACTTGTTATTTATATGCCTCAGTTTGCTGGGGTGGTTGACATTACTTCCGGTCCTGTTTTTCGTTGGTTTGTATGTTGGGTCCAGTTCACTGTGTTTGCCATCAGGGGCAGCCCCCATGGCTCAGTGGTTAGCACTGCTGCCTCACAGTGCCAGGAACCCGGGCTCAATTCTACCCTTGGGTGACGGTCTGTGTGGAGTTTGCACATTCTCCCCATGTCTGCGTGAGTTCCCTCCGGGTGCTCCGGTTTCCTTCCACAGTCCAAAGATGTGCAGGTAGATTGGCCATGTTAAATTGCCAGTAGAGTTCAGGGATGTGTAGATTAGGTGGGTTATAGGGGGATGGGTCTGGGTGGGATGCTCTGTGGGTCGGTGTGGGCTTGTTGGGCCGAGGGGCCTGTTTCCACACTGTAGGACTTCTATGATTCTATGTTGATGGAGTTCTGGTTGGAATGCCAAGACTCCAGGAATACCTTGTCATGTCTCTGGTTGGCTTATGCTCTTATGGATGTGTTGATCTCGTCAAATTCGTGAGCTTCTTTGTCTATGTGTATTGAGACCAGTGAGAATTGGTCATGACCCTTGGTGGCATTCCAACTGGAACTCCACCAACAAACACATTGAATTGGACCCCATATGCAAACCACTGAAAAACAGAACTGGAAGTGATACCAAACACCCTAGCAAACCGAGTCATGTAAGTAACAAGCAGGACAGAACACCAACCCTTCACCGGAGGCGCACTGACGATATTACCTAGCAGGGTGACAAAACGTCTGCAACCAAACACACCAGCTCGACGAGCAAGTCTACAACCTCAGTATAGCGATTTTTCTGTAGCAGTTTCCCTCAAACGTGATTTTCTATAGTGCGAGGTCACAGAAGAACGCAACTATCATGTTATAGGAGAACTACCTGTATAAAGCTACATGACGTTATGCTACATAAAATGTTGTAAAAACCCTGGAGGGAAGGAAAGCTACTGTCTTTATCGAGATTGGCCTGTATGTGATTCCACGCTCTTAAATATTGACCTTTCACTGCCCTCTAAAATGGCCAAACAAACCACTGCTCTTTTGTTCTGACAACTTGAAAACTTGCACATAAACTTTCACAACTTAGAGACTTGACAAACTAAAGCCTTTTGCTGGGTGAATTAGATCTGAACTCAAATCACAAGTTGTTCTGGTCTGTTTTCTCTCTGATAAAAGTTCAACTTTTTAAACACATCATCAGTTAACATCCCAGGCATCCTGTTAGGCTCTTAATTGAAGTCACGTGCTTTCTTGGAAATGACGTAGTCAGTCCACTGTTCCAAATTACTTTTTGATATGTTATACAAAAACCTCACCATCTATTTTATCTGCAATTTAAATCTCAGATCTCAAATTTATGATATTCCCCCTTAAAACTCTGGTCTCCCACAGCAGACACTTGCTTAAAAATGTTTGAGATTCCTTCGTGAAGCAAGGAAGTTGGTCCTGCAGTGCTGCTGTGTAGAGAGTTCCCGGATATTGACCCAGTGACTGAAGGAATGGTCTGCAAATAGGGATGGTGTTTGATTTTTCTTTTCCAGGATCCTTTGTTTATTTGCAAGTTCACTGAAATTCTTTTGCGTTGGTTGCTTTTGGCCGTAGCTGGCTGGCCACAATTAAGCGAGAGACTGTCTTTTCCCTTTTCCTGCAGGGCAGGGGTTGTTAATGGCTGTCCTCAAAGCCATGACCTTCACAACACAATGGTCCACACACTAGGCCATCAGGTCACTAACATCCGCAGATCAGGGTTGAAGCTCTCTTTTAACCCTGTTTTCTTGTAGATCCCTGGAAGAAACAAAACGCTAGAGGGCATAGGTTGAACATGAGAGGAGAAAGATATAAAAGGGACCTAAAGGGCAACTTTTTCATGCAGAGGGTGGTGTTTGTATGGAATGAGCTGCCAGAGGAAGTGGTGGAGGACGGTACAATTACAGCATTCAAAAGGCATCTGGATGGGTACGTGAATAGGAAGGGTTTAGAGGGGATATGGGCAAATGCTGGCAAATGGGACTAGATTAATGTAGGACATCTGGTTGGCATGGACAAGTTGGACTGAAGGGTCTGTTTCAATGCTCTATGACTCGATGACAAACCTGTGTGCAGAAGCTGGCTTCCTGCTGAGAGGGGTTTGGATAGTCAGCTTCTTGTTTTCTCTCCACTTGTAGTTTTCCCATTTTGAAGTTTTCCTGATCCTGTACTCGGGTAACTTTCCCGAGTGTGTCTCCAGAATGTTATTGAATTTCAATCTGCAGTCATCTTGGCTGCATCAGTCCTTTTTATTAAATACCACTTATGGACACAGTTTGATATGACCATAGGTCATCTGGAATTATGACAGTGATCCCAAATATTGCAATTTTCTTTGGTGGGGAAAACACCCTATTAAGCCATGTCAAACAGTTTCAGAAGCATATGCCCTTTTCAAGTATATATTCAGTTGAGTTTTTTTAAGGTTCCACCACCCTTTCAGGTATGGTATTCTAAAATTTAAAAACTCTTCAATGAAAAATATTTCGCCTTCAGTTATTCCTCTGCCAATTGTCTTAAACCTGTGTGTCAACCCATTTTAAAGGGTAAATTTACTTACTCTGTCAAATGGCCTTAAGATGCTAAATACTTCAGTTAGGTTGCTTCCCTAACTTTCTCAGCTGTAAATGAAATAATTATAGTTTCTCCAACCCCTCTACAAAACTGAAGTTCTTAATCCTTGGCGTTATCTTACAAACATTCTTTCTAAGATTGCAAAATCTATCCTAAAATAATTTACAATTGTTGACAGTACTCCAGCTGAGGCTCAACGAGTGATTTGCAAACTTCACGATAGAATCTCCATAAGTGTGGAAGCAGGCCATTCTACCCATCGATCTCACACTTGCCCTCCGAAGAGCATCCCAATTAGACCCACCCTGTCCCTATAACCCTGCATTTTCCCATGGCTAACCCACCTAAACTGCACATCCCTGAACGCTATGCACAATTTTCCACTGCCAATCCACCTAACCCGCAAATCTTTGGACTGTGGGAGGAAACTGGAGCACCCAAAGAAAATCCATGCAAACGCAGGGACAATGTCTGTGTAGAGTTTGCACAGTCGCTTGAAGGTGGAATCGAACCCAGGCCCCTGGCACTGGGGCAGCAATGCTAACCACGGAGCCACCGTGCCACTCATAGAATCTCTACAGCGTGGAAGTAGGCCATTCAGGACATCGAGTCCACACTGACCCTCTGAAGAGCATCCAATCCAGACCCACCCCCTACCTTATCCCCATAACCCTGCTCCAAGCATCTCTAGCATCACTTCCTTGTTTTTTTTTGTCAAAGGCCATTTACAAAGCCAGGAACAAAAACAGAAGTTGCTGGAAAAGCTCAGCAGGTCTGGCAGCATCTGGGGAGAG